AATTAGGGCCTGTCCCATCAAATTGTAAATTGTCTGATAACAATGCAACGTGTAAAATATGTGATGGAAATAACAGATTTTGTTCCCTTATCTGACAGTGTCGTTATTTTTAAGCTATCTGAGCCTCTATCAGCTTGTGGTGGGAGAGGCCGTAATTCTTTAAAATTCTGAAAAATGTATTCCCAAAACTAAATAAATCTTCGATGAATTTGATCTCATTTAGTAGAAAGTAGTCAATTTAATTTTAATTTCGCTCTCAATTCGGAAAAAGAAGTGTTCGGACGTCAGCAAGGCTCCCCGTGACCTCATGACCTACTTCCTGGTTGTTAGTAGCTGCCCTTATCAGGCTTCCCATAAGTTAGGTGACCAAATGAATAAGTTTCTATACCCGTGCTTTAGCAGGGTTCGTGAAGCTTTTACCTTTTCATAATTTGTAAAATAAATAACAATAAAGAAAAAAATATTATTGTATAATATTATAAATAAGTAAATAAAGAGATAAATAAAAAAACATGAAGCTTTCATGAGAAATGATTAGGTTTGATAACTTTCTAACAGATGGCGTTAGATGTATAACCTAATTTTAATTAAATAAAATCAGTATTTTTAAATAGACTAAACCAGTAGGGATTTACCACATTAATACGAATGCTAAAAAGATTTTAATCAAATGAGATTTTTTTGTCAAAAGAGCCATTCGTTCGCCATCAAATTACTTGTAAATTAATCAAAAGCCGTTTCGACGTGTCGTCGGCTGCGAAGAGTCGTTTTTCCTCTATAACGCTCGAAAAGTTTCGACAGAAACGTGCCGAATATTGAATACTGCCTTAATATAGATTGATCGATCAAGATAATAAACAAACTCTAAAAAATAAATATACATTTACGAATTTATATTAATATTTTACCTAAAAGTTGGAACCCCTCCGCTTCTATCTAAAACATGTTAATTATACACGCCTAAGTAAATAATGCCAGCTTCTACAATTTGACCGCATGCAACGGAGAGCGACTCGAATCGTCAACGACCGAGCTCTTACCGATCGGCTAGATCCTTTGACCTTGCGGAGGGACGTCAGTTCCCTCTGTATTTTTTACCGTATTTACCACGGGAAGTGTTCCGAGGTGTTGTTTGGAACGATTCCTGCCGCCGAGTTTCGTCATCGGACGTAGAAGCCTTCTACGTAGAAGACCGTCAGGTAATATCCTCACCATGTTGATGGCTGGCATTCCACAACCGTGCGGTTTTCGCGGAACTTTCTGCCCCGCACAGCCGCGTTGTGGAACGATCTGTCCTCGGCGGTATTTAAACCAATACGACTTACGGTCCTTCAAGAAGCGAGCCCACAATTTCCTCAAAGGCCGGCAACGCATCTGTAGTTCCTCTGGTGTTGCGGATGTCCATGGGCGTCGTTGACCACCTTTGTGCTCCCGCCGCTCGTTTGCCACCTTCTCATATAAAAAAAATAAATAAATAAACAAGACAGAATTAAACAAGAATTTATAAATTACAGGTTAAATACGTCCTGATATCCTAAGGTTATTTTTACACTTTATTTCTCCAGTGTCTGACATTTAGCAATACAAAGGCTTAAGGTGAATGAAAAGAAAGGTCAATTAGGTAATTATGTTCTGTTCGCATTTCTCTTTTCATGTTTAGCTGACAAACAAGTGTTTATTCAAGTCGCTTGCTGACTAACCTTTTAGATATATTTAGAGTCGTAGGTTTTTACAATAAATCTTATGTATACATAAGAAATACATACAATAATTTATTTCTTCAAAAAAATCTCAAATTAGCTAATAATAATCTTAAAGATACAAAGGTATATCAAAATTAGCCAATAGATGGCGTTGCATACAAAGGCGGGACACTTTTATTAAACTTTTTAATAATGCTTCATTATTTTGTACTAGCTGTTGCTCGCGACTTCGCCCGCGTGAAATTAAAAAAAACATAACCTACGTTACTCAGTGATAACGTAGCTTTTAGGGTGTAATTTTTTTTAATCGGCCCAGTAGTTTGCGTTATTTCAATACATACAAAAATACAAATCCTTCCTCTTTATAATATTACGAGTAGTATAGATGAAAGAAATTGTGGAATAGTGAATTTTTCGCAACAAGGCTTCGACAAGTCACGCGTCAATAAACGTGCAAGGAAATACTGAGTCATTCAATATTTTCGATTACTTCAAACTCGCCGTGAATTTCATGTTCACGTTTTTATGAATGAGCTAGTTCGTGAAATGGATTGGACCAATAAATTCCCTATTGTTTGATATAATTGAATAACTTGACGATTGGCGACAGTCATGTTTAAGGGAATTATTTTTTACAAATTAAATATGCAAGTAAACTTGAAATTGAGGCCCTGCAACAATACTAACTGTTGTGGGTGATATTTACATCCATTTAATATCTTAAGAAGTTACAAAATAAAATATGACAAAGTTTTTTTGTAGTTAATTGAATTTTTCTTGAAGAATTTTCACAAAACGTATATAGGTCAAGAGTAATACGACAAACGACGATGTCTAAAAAGGTGAGAAAACGGCAAAGAGTAATTGGAAAACAGTAAATAAAGTCATATTGTGCAAATGCACAAAACATCATAAAATATATCTAAGTTTATAAAGAGTAGATATGTAGAATGAACGATGTGCGATCATTTCCTTGCACAATCCAGGAATAGATAATAGAATAGACGTAAGTCAATTTCCAATACTAAATTTAGCATCTACTACTACTAGCTCTTGCTTCGATTTCCTGCCATGCAAGGAAATTAATAATTTAACTATATGGATGCGCCTAGATTTTATATGCTACTCGGTTTCTACTAACAGTTAAAATTGCTAATTAATTATCACAGGCGCTATAATACATTCTTTTTGAACTCGAATTTTTCATTATGTGAAATTCGTATTCAACAAAGAAATACTCTCTAGAGTTTGATGAATTATAAAATAGATGATGAATTACCCTTGACCCTGTATTCTAGAAGGGTTCATCACGCCGTACCTATTTCTGCTGCACTAAGATACCGCATAACGCTACACGGAAGGTCGTGACTACGATGCGGTAAAATTAATTGGCCTTTAACTACCATTAATATCGTGCAATTATACATTATTTACATCAAATGCTACGACGTAAGTTTTTAAAAATACAAAAGAAATCTTACACACAATTCCATCTTCATAAATTTTGTTTTTCGTACGTTGTTTTGTCAATCTTCGTAAACAATTATTAATATTGTCTTGCTAATAATCTAATTAGTTGTTTACTGATTTTGCCATTTTAGTTATATTTATATTGTTCTTCTCAATGACCATTTATAAAATAACTGTAATTAGTTAATTACTTACTAATTTTTAATATTCAACAACAAAATTTATTTAATTAAAATCTAATTACTCGGTATTTAAAGCCAGTACAATATATAAAAGACTTCATTCGAGAACAGTACATCAATAAGTGCACTGAAAATTGGTTTTCAACTAAGCGTTTCAATTATATTATAAATAAAAGTCATGGATAACCAATTAACTGAAAGTGAATACGAACTTTATGTTCTTTGTGAGAGAATTGAAAAAGATATTCTCTTTGATCCAACTTTTGATAACGATTTGTATAATATAAGCGTATTATTTGATCCACAAACCACGTAAGTACTTATAATTTAAAATGTTAATGTACAAAAATACGTAAATGTCCCATTAAAATCATTTAGAGCTATAAAATACGCTTCAATCAATCATATTGTTACTTGCTTAGAAATAATAGAAAAATCAGATGAATTGGGTACCTCCTCCTATTTGAAGTCGGTTAAAATTAAGCAACAATTTGATATGCCTAGTTTAAAAAAATAGGACCGCATAAGTTTATACCCTTCAATTGTTTTTCTATTTGAAAATAATCATGTTTTTTTACAAAATTCCTGCAATGATATTACACGACTTTACACAACGAAAGCCTTATCGTTTATTAGACAAAATATTATTGTTAAACTTTAATGGAATTTATTGCAAAGAAATAAAGATTGATTTTATTCGCAGAAATGAAATACGAGGTATAAAACGATCTAATCCAGAAGTAAATGACGTGGAAACTAAAATAATAAAACTAAATAATGAAGATTCAATTGGGACTCATGATAATCATGATAAATTACAACAAATCTGTCCAGATTCTTCAAACGACGTTGTCCTCGAGTCGACGTTTGAAAACAGAATTATCATGTACAAAATCGAAAGTAAAGTGAAATTACTAAAAGCGTTGAATCTATTTTTAAATTCAATCAAAACTGAAATATTTAAAACAATCAAGATGTGTTTTAAATATGAATATTTACGAATCAATTTTGTATTGCATGCTGATTTTGTACATTGTATAGAAGATAATAAAAAATCCTTTACTTTTAAAACGTATGATTTCACTTTACAAGATAAGGATAGATTAAATCTCCTTTATTCCTCTTTAACGCAGGATTTACGGAATAGTGTGAGTGATTTTGTTAAAGAAAATAAACACTGGAAACTTGATAATATCAAATATTTAAATATGACAATAAATAAATGCGACTTTTAAAATAGTTTTTTTCTTTTTCTAAACATAACCTATCCTTTTTTTTTGGTAGGTAGATACTCAGAAAAAACGAATCTAATTTTAGTTCAAATAGAAATTTACTAAGATCATTCAATCTATGATCCAAATTCACAAATATTAAAGCTAATTTATTAATAGAATTAGAATTGCTAGGCATGAAGACATCCTTTCAAATGCTTAATTTAGATTTAAGAAACCTTAATGTTGATTCGCATTTGTTTAATCTACACTAATAAACATTAAATAAGTATTTAATGGTTCTGAGTATTATTTGTAATGTATAACAATTAAAGAAATGTAAAGAACTAAAACGCAAAACCGCAATCGAAAGCTAAATTAACGATAGCTTCTTAAAAACTCAAAATCGTCATTCTATTTGTTATCTATTACAGAAGTGCTAAAGGCATACGGCGAGAGACTAACAGATTGGGAGAGGAATGAAGTCAGGAAGTATCCAGAAGTTTGGTTCGTTGGTTTGGAAGCGAACAAGGTGCAAGCGCGGGCCAACTTACCCAATAATTGTGGATTCGATGATGAAAATGGCAGTTACAATAAAGTAAGTTATCAGACACATTCCCAATAAATATTGTAACTATGATCAAGTTAAAATCATACAATTGTATTTAAAATCTTTTTCAATGTTCCCCAGCAAATGCATGACCACATAGCATACCGATACGAGATCCTGGAGGTGATAGGCAAAGGCTCCTTCGGGCAGGTGATCCGTGCACTCGACCACCGCACCGGAAACCAGGTGGCCATCAAGATCATAAGGAACAAGAAGCGCTTCCACCACCAGGCCCTCGTGGAGGTCCGCGTACTCGACCACCTGCGCCTCAAAGACAAGGACCAATCGCACAACGTCATTCACATGCTAGACTACTTCTATTTTAGGAATCATCTTTGCATCAGCTTCGAGCTTATGAGGTTTGTATTTAATGTACCCCAACATTCACGTATTTATTTACTCTTAGGGCCTTTCCCACTAGTGACTGATAGAGGTTCAGATAGCTTAAAAATCGTCACGTCACAACACATGAATTGTGAAACAAAAAAGTGCGAGATCTCGTCATATGTTACACGTTTGATTATCAGACAATTTACAAGAATCTGATAAGACAGCCCCTGAGTAAATTATATAATCAGCAATATTCATTAATATTTAACATTTTACAGTATAAACCTGTACGAACTCATAAAGAAGAACAACTATCAGGGCTTCAGCCTCAGCCTTATCCGGCGGTTCGCGAGCTCTTTGTTGCGCTGCCTTAGGCTACTGGAGGCTGAGAACATCATACATTGCGATCTAAAACCGGTAACACACTACCAAGCTCATAAATTAAAACAATATAAAATATCCCAAGAATCGAATAACCTATGATCATGATTGTTTCAGGAAAATATCCTATTAAAAGCAAGAGGTAGTTCATCAATAAAGGTGATAGATTTCGGCAGCTCGTGCTACACGCACGCGCGCGTCTACACTTACATCCAGTCGCGGTTCTATCGCAGCCCTGAAGTTATCCTCGGGCTGCAGTACGGCGCGCCCATTGACATGTGGAGCATGGGTAAGGAATGATATTACTAAGTTTCAGTTCAGATTTAAATTTGGAACAAGCGCTTCTAGCATGCTAGATCAATTGCTTAGTAATCTCCGGGTATATTAAATGAATAGCTCATTCTTAAAAATCAACCGTTTTAGCTGTATGTCAATATACAAATGACTTAGGGCCAGTCCCACCACTGGCTGATGAAGGCTCAGATAACTTAAAAATAACGTCACTTCCGATAAGGTTACAACATATTTTACACGTTGGATTATCAGACAATTTACAATTTCGTGGCCCTTAATTTAAAGATTATATAACTTTACTTTGTTCTTTGGATAATTCTAACATCATTTTAATCGCCGTAAAACCCATGATGAGAGCCGTTCGATGTGCAAATGAGATGGTCATGGAATGTTTGTTGCAACCTGTTGCTTACGCAACCTGTCGCTGCTCGCTGTAGAAAGCCGAGAGAAAGGCGCGCACCAATGCTATAAACATCGTAAAAGGCGCGACCTGTAATATATGAGATCGGATTCGCAACGATCATTATGCATTATCTAGATAATTGTAAGCCTAAAAAGTACAGAATTGTTCTATGTCATGTAATTTAGTGTTTGATTTGAGATAATCAAATGTACATATGAATGTTAATGGCCACAAAAGTAGAGGAAGACCAAAGAAAGTATAGATAGATTGTGTGAAAGAGGACATGCTTAGAAAGGAAGTCAATTTAGATATGACGGCTGATAAAGATGGATTGAAGATCACATACTGTGGTGTCCCTCCATAAGGACAAGGTGTGCCTGTGCAGGGTGTATCCTGGCGGAGTTGCATACGGGATACCCGCTGTTCCCGGGGGAGAATGAAGCGGAACAGCTGGCCTGCATCATGGAAGTGCTAGGCCCGCCACCGCCTGATCTGCTGCTGCACGCTACTAGGAAGAGACTCTTCTTTGGTAAGTAACACGCACCATAAGGTAATAAGTAGCATTTTGCTTGGTGTTAAGTGATCACTGATGCCCGTGAACATTTATTATACTAAAGAATATGTTCTTTTAAAGGAGTCTACAAATTTAGATTGGAATTGGTCTCTATTGTTAAAATACAAGACTAAAGTTTCCTTCTGGTAGTTTAACGCTTACGACCACGACAATGCCAATATATACTTACATTATAAAGATTTTTATTTTTGTATGTATTGGAAAAACTCAAAAACTACTGGGACTATTTTAAAAATTCTTTCACTGTCAGAAAGGTACTTAATCCGTGAGTAACATAGGGTATAATTTTTAATTTTCATGTGGGCGAAGTCGCGAGCAACAGGCAGTCGTGTCTAAGATGGCTTCTGATTTCTGTTTTTATACGACCTTGAAAACCTACATCACTTTTAGCGGAGATTTTTAAACATTATAACACTTGTAATCGATGTATCATGTTTAGGTTTTTAGTATCTTATGCGGTCAAGTAACTTGTGGTTTTGTCCTTAAATATTCAACAGGAATGAAACGTCGCAAATTCCAGACATATAAGGTCTAAACTTTCCAGTTTGCTTGCAATTCTAATGAATAGGTCTCGAGCTGTACGCGGTTGTTGTGTAAACCGTGTTGCGAAATCCGAGCCTAGAACGTAGCCTATCGCTGGACTGCACCAAGTTGCTAACTTGTATCGAATAGGAAATCCGTCTGTTTTAAAGCAAATAAAAACTTGTCTAGTACGTGATGGGGTCATTGGCCATTGCAACACGTGTTAGCTTTGTTATATTACTAGCTGTGCGCCCCAACTTCGCCTGACTGATAAAGAATATGCATCTCATATCTTTTATATCATAACCATCTCTTCGATGTCCTGTTTATTATATAGCCTATGATACACAGTGATAATGTAGCTTTGGGATGGGGAAAGCAATTTTAAAGTCGGTTCTGTAGTTTCGGGCCCTAATTAATTCAAATTTGATATTTTCCTCTTATACTTGTTTTGTTTCCACTTGCATTATTTTCAATGACATTATTTATTGTTATTCCTATTTTTATACATGTGTATATTATCAACAGATTCTAAGGGCTGTCCGCGCACGGTGACCAACTCGAAGGGACGCAAACGGCGGCCGGGCTCGCGAGCGCTCTCCGCCGCCGTGCGCACCGACGACCCAGCATTCTTGCACTTCATACACCGATGTCTAGAGTGAGTACATAAAGCTACCATACAAAGGCCAACAAACAATCGGTAATAAAAACAGTAGGAGTTATATCCCAGTTGCCTGTCGTCGTTAAAAACACTTATGTACAGCAGGGCAGACAAAGATCAGTCAGACCATGATTATGATAAAAATACTACGTACAGGATGCCGACTGCTTGAATCAGTCCATAGATAGCCTTTAAAGTTTTTATACGAATGTGGAATGTCTAATCGATCTAACGCACTTTTCATAGTGGTAACATTCTTGTGCGACGCGCCGGTACAAAATTACTAAAAATTATATAATTATATTGCCACATAAGGCTGTAGAATCTTTGTTAATAATATTTATTAAGTAATTTATTTAGCATAATCGTATTAGGCATATTAACAGTGACATAAGTCTATTCAAGAATCACAGGAAGTTGATAAGAGGTTATTTAATGAAGTAAAAGTTTTTTTTTTTGCATTTTATGTTGAAAATTATCTTTATCAGAAAAAAAATAACAGTGACAAAAACAATTTTTTATTTAACATGTATTTGAAGGGAAAGCGCAAAATATAATATCGATTTATTGGCATCTCTAACAAGCGATTATTATTTTTTGACATAAATCGACTCACAAACGACTATTACTACTCTATGGTCTGACCTTTGTGAAAGAGAAAATCTATTGCCCCTTATTTTCATAGATTATAATGATACTAAAATAAAACACTAAGTTTATTCGATAAATTAAAGTTTTACTAGAACATATGTTATTTTTATATAATCAAAAACAGAGATAAAGAAAATTTATAGCAGAGAAAACACTACAGAATGCTAAATATATATTATATCTGATTAACATAATTATATACTGTGTTATATCAAAATTACTAATAAATATGTAAATAATAACATGTTCCTACAACAAATACATATTCATAAAACGTTATTGCAACATCAGGTCAAGTTAAGGTTATGTTTAACATTTTTAAATAACAAAAAGTATATTTCAAATACAGAATATAATATCCTCCCATATTTAAGAATACAACTTAGGGCCTGTCCCACCAAATTCTAAATTGTCTGATAAAAATCGAACGTGTAAAATATGTGATGGAAATATCGGATTTTGTTAAATGATTTGACAATGACGCCATTTTTAGGCAATCTGATCCTTTATCAGCCAGTGGTGGGACAGCCCCTTAAACTCACAAATAAGGTATTTATAACCTATGGAATGAAGCCAACGATACAATTTTATAGCCGGATTTATTTAACGTAACATTACAGCCCATAAATTCGAAGATAATCGATCAATTCGTCAACTTTCCCGTCTCGGAAGCTCTCATCACGTAGGAATCCGGCACGGTTCGTTTTCGATGTATTTTTCCCACATTTTCGACGTTCGTTGAGAACAAACGAAACGTACGCAGTGAAAGGTTACACAAATTATGCAATTTATCAGCTGCTCGACAAAGAATACAGTGTTACAGACTGTGGTTGAAGGTATTAAACGAATCGATTGAAATATTTTTAAAAATTTTCACGAGTACTATGCATAATGCAGTCGAAAACTGTTGTAAAAATTGACCGCAACCTTATTATAGACATTAAAAATTCTAAAGGGTAAGCTAGGCTAATTAATAAATAAAAATTACGTAACTTTTTATTTAAAATTTAAGATATTTTCCTTACTTTTAGAGCAAATAAATAATGCAAACTAATATAAATATTTTGTAACTGTAGATCGCGTCTACGCTTGCCTAATCTACATAGAATTATATAAGATTATAGAGAGTGCGTGCCGCCTAGCTCGCGGATTTGCTTACGGATTAGATAATGAGGCAAAGATGCGTGTCTGTACGTCTGTCATCGCCACGGGTCGCTGTAGTTCATTGGTCCGGTACACATTAATAAACTGGAGCACTCGTTACTTTTACCTTTTGTGTGCTAACGAAAATGATTGGTATACTACGTTAAAATCATTGTGATGTGACATCCCTAAGTCTGTGTTCGGGTAGGTTTTTATTGTCAACACGTTTACCGTGTGGATATTCACAATGTTTTTAAAAAATGAAACTAGAAATAAAGGCAACCATGTCAATCAAATTGGAGTGTCTGTTTGTAATATCACAATATATCTAGATTTCAGGAAGATTATGTATTTGCCTTTCTCCTAAAGAAAATCGCATTTAAAAATATTTTGTCTGTCTTTTGTTCCGGTAAACCTCCGAAACGGCTGGGCCGATTTCGACTCGACTTTCACCGAAGGATAGTTGACATAGACGGGCATATTATAGGCTTTTTTTATCTTAATATTGCGTGGACTAAGTCCCGGCAACAGCTAGTTTTAAATAAAACTGGAGTTGAAGTTAGTTATATTAACCGTTTTATTAACGAGATGCATAGTAAAACAAGGCCAATATTATTAACAACTATACCATAATTTGATGTGCTATTGTTTGTGTTGCTGATATTTTAATATTTTTATGTACATTTTATTACATTTACATAACAAATTGTGACAATTGATAACGCCTTTCTCTTGAGTGCAGGCATCTGTTAGATTCTATACTTAGAGTGGTAGTGCCCGCTTTAACATCTTAGCACGAATAGGCCGGCATGCCCGGTGTAATACCACGACCACACAGAAAACAGGTGTGAAATGGAAGCAATTCCGTGTTACGTCTGATGAGTGTGGTGCCGGAGGCCTTACGACCCTTTTCTCATAAGGAGAGAATGGGAAGGGGAAGTGGATTTGACAGTGGTGGAGATGCATAAAAGGGGAAATATCCTCTTTATGTGCGTCTCCTCCTCCGTCGGATATGAGTAGGTATAACACATCTGCAATTGCGGATGTCTATGGGCAGCGGTCGCTTCGCCTTTTTGGCTGTATCAGGTGGCCGCTTGCTCGTTTGCCACCATATGTTATAAAAAGTTTGTGTTTTAGAAATACATTTCACGTATATTAGCAAATGCCCCGACTTCTTCGAAATATAAATATTTTTTTTAACTTATCCTGATAGATAAGTAATTTAAATACATCCTACTGGATAATCTTGTTGTCTTTGATATATTTTTAAAATGAAAGTTAATTTAAATTTGTTAGTGAAAGTTATTATTAGTTAGAAAACATTTTTACATATGATCGAATATTTCAAACAATATGGTAGAATCATTAAACATGTTAAAAATTATACATTTTTTCTTACATTGACTTAACGTCCCTATAAATCTTCCTAATATTATAAATGCGAAAGTTTAGATGTATGGATGTTTGTTAGAGTTTGTAGCCTAAACTGCTAAACGGATTTCGATGACATTTGTCATGGATGGAGAGGATAGTCAGGAAGAACACATAGGCTACTCACTTTCGTTTTTTTAATTCCACGCGGATGGACTCGCGGGCGAAAGCTAGTCTTACTATAAATATAAGCAACACCTTTGCTTTTAAGCCATCGTCTACGTCTATGCCCAATTTCATCCAGAGATCCGTTGGCCAGATTAGGCTACAAACTCTAACAAACATCCATCCATTTAAACTTTCGCATTTATGATACGTATACGATAATAAGTAGTAAGATTTACATTATGTTATAATTCCGTGTGTCTATAAAAAACTACCTAGGTATATAGGTAGGTTAGAAATGTTACTACTGTATGTACATACCTCATATACTCATCCCTTTCATTTAATTTGAACAGTGAATGTTGTTTTAAGACGTTTTAAGAGCAAAGAGCTTTAGCGTGGGAACACGTTGCCCTATGCTACCATCTCTAGTACGTCTTTCGGTCTACCTTAAATAACTCGCCTGTCCTAAATCAAGTATATTAACTGCATTGCTTATTTCAAGCTTACAAAACGTTAAAGCATTTCAAATTATTACGTGCTTAAAGTGTTCTCAGAAATAATAAAACAAACAATTTTGTATATATAAAATAATGTTTCTACAATACAGATAACATACTTATAGGCTTTTAAAAATTAAAGCAGTCTTTTAATCTATTCTAAGAGTATCCCTTAGTGATCGTTTAATAACTCATTAAACATTAGCTTATGTCTATACTAATATTTTAAAGAGGAAAGATTTGTATTTTTGTATGTTTGTATATCTTAAAAAACTACTTGGTCGATTTCTAAAATTCTTTCATCATTAAAAAGCTACATTATCAGGGAATATAGGCTGTATTTTTTTATTTCACGCAAGCGAAGTTGCGAGCAACAGCTATTTTGTAAATAACTCTAAATGTCTTGTTAAACAATTTTATTCACATAGTAAGGCCGTATATTTAAAAAAAAAATTACGTGCTAAAAACTTCTGTAAGCAAGATCTTAAACAAGAACATGTATCTAGTTAGTTTTCCTGTTCAAGACAGATTTCTGTTTTTTAAATAGAGTTACGTATGCCACATGTAACCGAGCTCAAAGGAACTAGGAAGAGATGGAAAGTTGTTGGAATGTTGTGCGGTAACGTTGTAGCTTGTATAAGGGTGTTATAATTAAAGAAAGTAAGTAAAATTATGGAAAGGGACTTATCTGATGGTATTTTAAATGGAATATTTTGTGTACAGGTAGGAACTAATTCATACTATCTCACTAATATTATAAATGCGAAAATTTAGATAAAGGATCTCGATGAAATTTGGAAAAGATGTAGAGGATAGTCTGAACACATAGGCTATTTACGTTTGTTTTATTCCACGCGGACGGAGTCGCGAGCGAAACCTAGTAAACTATAAAATAATGCTGAAAGAAATTTACAAAACTTAAACAAAAAGACAAGAAACTTAGTTAAGTCAAAGCTCGACATGTAAAGGCTTTAAACTATTAAAATAATAATAATGAATCAGTAGAAAAAAAATCAAGATGGATATTATGATTAATTACTTCTTAAGCTTTACAAGTAATATAAGTTTAAAGTAACTCTAAATTGGATTGTAGCTTAAAGTGATAGGGTCACCTTGATCCAAATGTTGCCAGGCATTGGTCAGCGACTGCAGAATTAGAAAGTGTTAGACACGGCAAGTGCATTTAATTGCGTAACAGATTTAGTGTGCATTATGAATCATGAAGTCCCCATTACAGTATAGGTCAAATTGCATATGCAAATTGAAAATGCAATATTGCGATGTTTTATTTTATCTATTTCTATTGTTTGTAAAGTGTTACAAATATGCGAATTGAAAATATCAAGATAACTTCGCCTTATGTAATATAGAAACAATAATTTTAATGGACGAACGGTCTTGTGATATACAAGAAGGTTTGGAAACAAACGCTTTGGCGATTATCATAATTTAATTTGCAATATGATTCTTTTGATAGTGCTTCCATGAATCATTAACTACATTTCTAACTTTTTAAGGAAGCCCTCAGCGTAACCGCTTCCTTACATAATCCAGTTACATTAAGCTAACTAGACCTGATTTTATATAGAATGTTTAACATAAATGACCGCTCTGTAACTTCCTAGGTCTGTAACTGACCGGTTGTATACAAAATCTATTTACGGAGTCCATACATAAGTTAGTTTTGTGATTGCAAAAAGTATATAGGTTATGTAATTTATGAGAATATGTTATATTTGTAGGCAATTCTTAAACCTTGTAAATATTATAGACAAGAGTAACCTTCTAACAAATATGTCGATTTTGATTGATTGATAAAAAAACTTAATATTGTTGTAGATAATATTGTTAAGTTAATTGTTTTAGAGTACTGGTATTACAACGCTTTGAATTCCTTTCCTATTTGTACTGTCTTGTTTATCTGTTCACTAATTTTATTAAAAATTGATCTGATTGGATTAGCATATTTTATTGCTTTTTGGCAATATAATAAGAAGGACCTGTCCTACCACTTGCTGATAGAGGCTCAAATAACTTAAAAACGTCACTGTCAGATAAGGTAAAAAAACGCTATTTCCATTACATATTTTACACGTTGGATATTGGACAATTTACTCTTTGGTAGGACAGGCTCTCATATTCTGAAAACTGTTATTTTATTAGTAAAATATCGTAACTTTTACGAGTCATGTAATGTAGGATTATTGTATATTTCAAAGCACATCTGAGATATATCGGTATTACACCACGTCTGTGATGAAAATGTTATGTAAGTGTTATTAGACGCCTCTATTGTTAACACATTTTCATATCATTTGCAAGTAATGTCGATTTACTTAGATCTGCTGTCTCGCAACCAGGCTAAGGTTACAGAACAGTCGTTATAAATAATAATAATTTACATAATTCCCAATCTATTACGTTAGAGATCAAATATGCGACTTGGTTGGTTTAGAATACAAACATTCCAAATTCCATAAGACCTGATTTGCACCTGTGCTAGGGAATAATAGATAAAGAAAATTAAGAAGCATAAGAGCGTGTTTACATCTGAAACTAAGTCACACAACTGTTTAGTCGCGCTTTGATTCCTGTGAACTTATATGATGCGGACACTACTCGATTTTTAGTTGTGCAACTATACAGTTGAATTGGCAGCGAAACAAACGACAATCGCACAGCAGTTGTGCTCTAATACCTAACTTAGATTTATTATTTACTAGCTTCCGCCCGCGACTCCGTCCGCGTGGAATTGAAAAAACAAAAGTGAATAGCCTATGTGTTCTTACAGACTATCCTCTACATCTATGCTAAATTTCATCGAACTCTAACAAACATCCATCCATCCATCTAAACTTTCACATTTATAACATTAGTAAGATTTGATATTTATTTAAGTTATCTTTACAGATGGGATCCAAAACGTCGCATAACACCAACCGAGGCGACACGTCACGAGTTCGTAACGGGATGTGCGCTGGGCACGTCGACGACAGGCGTGCTGGCGCTGCCCCGGCTGGCACCGCCGCGGCCAGCGGGAGCCGCTTTGCTGCACTCTCAATCAGCGGGAGATGTAGCTGCGATGCTGGGCCGCGCGTGACCGCTAACATGAGCCTTCACCACGCACTCCGGACCACATGCAATCCTTGGTCCAACTATTTAGACACGTTTACACGGCACCTGATTCTGTAGACTTATTCAGACAAACTCAAATAACAGCATCACGCGAGGGCAATAAGGTTTCGTTGTATCTGATCGTGTTTCTGCTATCGTGTGAAACTATAACAAACGCAGACTTGGCATAACCACAGTAGAGTACAGTTGGGGAATCTGGCGGTTTTCTATCTTAAGTGTTAAGAGCTATCATTTGAATATTTTGTAAGTATTTAGACGTCGCGGATCATCCAATAGCAGTTTTAAATGTGTACGAAGAGGTTAGTCAATGATACATGGCTAATTGCTTTTAATTATTCCGTCGTTGCAACTCATTGCTGCCTACTTGGTTATCTGTAAGTAGATCACTGCGTATTGCCACGACTGTACTGTGAACTGTCGTCTATAGAATCACGTGCGTGGAAATCGACTTAATCATTGCGTCTACCGGATTATTATGTCGTCCAGCATAACGGGACTTTAGTTTGCAAACGTATATAACTTTCAGATACATTTGTAGATTCTTATAATTGTTCCTTCTATTTGAATAGTACTCATTTGCATACACGATTTGGGACCCTTTCTGTACTTAGAACAATGTATGATTAACAATAAAGTTTATAATAATTATTATCAACTGAAATCGACAGATACTAACACTATAAAGTACCATAATAAGTCTAAAATGTCTTATTGATATTATTTTAACTACCTTTTGTTAATACATGCCAAAATCTAAAAATGTAAATGCTATGAAAACAGTTAAAATAACTTGTTTTCTAAAAGAAACCAAATTAATTACGATAAAATCCAAGTTGCGTTGAATTTTCAAGTCTAAATTGAAATCATAATTTATAAAATCTATCGTAAAATTTTATATATCTTTAGAAATATAATGAAGATAGTTCGATTGCTTCAATAGTATTTGATACATTTTCTAACTAAGAGCAATAGTATGCGATTCTTCTCAACAATTATGTTTGACCATTCATGAATGTCTGTTTTGCTCTACTTACTAAGATGCGAAGATTATACATTTCAATTGTGCAATATTCTAACAAGTTTTGAAACTTCCAGTGTCCGTGGCGACCTAAATCCTAGATCTGGTTTTGGTCTAGTACATTTAAATGTCTAGTTTAGAGCTGTATTACAATTAAATTATAATTATTTGAAATGTATGATCATTTTCGTAATCAACGCCAATGATTTGCTAAACATGCATTCAATATTTAGGGCCTGTCCCACCAAATTGTAAATTGTTTGATAACAATCCATGTATGTAAAATATGTGACGGAAATATCATTTTGTTCCTTTATCTGACAGTGACGTTATTTTTAAGTTATATCTCCTCTATCTGCTAGTGGGACAGGCCCTTGATCTTCTATTTGACAGATTAAAAATAAAAAGTATAGTTTCCTGGCTTAAAAGACGGTAGCCTTTGTCTTAAAAAATGAACTAACAGTATTTATAGACGCGAGTGCCAAATCGAGACTGAATAAGAAATAAACACTTTTTAGGTGTATTTTCAAATCACATCGAAAGTTAATCGATAGAATGAATCGTATATAAAATATGATAATTTTAGTGGAAATGGAATTGAGATTGAGAGAAAGAAAAGCATATCGACTTTCTTTGATAAATTGATTACATAAATAGATTTGATATTAGTTACGTAATATTCAATTTACTACTGTTAGGAACAAAATTAGTACCGTGCTGTAGAGTTGGCGCAACTCTAGGTTATCGGCATAAACGTCACGTCCCTAGCTGACAGCTGTCAATGTCACTAGAAGTATGGATAGATTTGGCGCGCATCCTAAGTCTGGGGAGAAGTATTGCTCTGAGTTTAAAGCGACAGTATCAATTAAATAAGTTGTCTAATACTACAAATAAATATGTAAACAGTAAGAAAAAAGTTAACTAGAAAAGAATGTTTATTTTCGTGTAATAGTATTGTTTTTAGTGATATTGTAAACTCTACTGAGGGCATAATTATTTAGAAAACGTTAATCTAAAAGCAAGGCTTTTCATGACTGATGTTACAAGGCGGGTATACGTATTTGGATTTCCATATCATTTATATGTATGAATATAAATAAGGAAATTTTAATAAAGATAGAGGATCAATTTATTCTAAGATTTGATTACTCGCAGACGTTTTCAACAGTTCTTTGAATAAATTAAATGAAATTACATTAAAAAAGTTGACTAAAACAAGAATATAAATAACATTGACAGTTACAAAGAAAGTTTATTTAATAAATCTGTACAGATATTGGTCTGTGGCCGGAAGTAATAAAAAATATGACAAACATTATAGAAAACAACTGTTTTATACAAATATAACGTAATATGACTTCGTTAGATTATAAACTCACTGACAGTTTATGGCGTTGACAATTATATAACCTAAATCGATCATGTTTTTGGTATCAAAAATTTTGAGGTTATGTATGTGTATTGATGTTTAAAATGTAGTACAATTTGTTTCTCTCGTTTATCATATTTAATCTGTGCGATATCGTAGATAATATAGAGTAATAGGAAATAAATGTTTAGAAATGTGATTGTCTAGTTTTTATAAGTGTCTGTATTAATTAGGGTAATAACACTCACATTTGAGTGTTCTCAGTAAGCTGTTACTCAAAACTCAAAAATTAAACCATTTAGATACATCACAATTTGATAAAAGTACATTTGATCTTAAATACAACTTCATTTCTACTTAAACAATGACTTTAACTTTACTATATGACAGATTTATTGACCGATTTCCCAAAAGGAGGTACTCAATTCGTCTGTATGTTTGTAGCTACATTTTATTTGTGATAATTAATCTCGTCTTTTTTAAATCAATTAATTTGACAATAAATCGTCTTTCAATATATTTCATTTCAAAATATCTCAAGTTTCTTACATATAGCTTAATTTAGTACTTATTTTAAATACAATATCAGTATGAATTTGCTATTAAGTAGGGGCTATCTTTCTCAAAATGTGTTATAGAAAATCATTATAAATAAACGTATACAAAAATTATCTCTAGATGTTAGAATTGGTCTAAACTGTACATAAGTATTCTTAATGTAGTCGAAATTTGTATTTAGGCTCCGCCAATGTAATATAAGGACTTTTGAATTACATTTAGATAAATAACGATGGGAAATGCGAAATAAACGCAATAACCAAGAAATTGTAGACATCTACAATATCAATAAAAGTAACATTGAATCAAAAAACATTTAAATATATAAGAATTCATAGGAAATATACAATTAGCATTTTTAAGTTGTTTTCTACGATTAATCGTTTTAGTGTTACCACTGCTAAAATATCTAGAAAATGTTAATAACCTCGAATTTTTTTATGTTAATGAATGTGACTGCTTTGACAATGGTATCCCATAGCTAAAATAATATTAGTGTCTTTTTTATTTTAAACTCGACTGAAACGGGAACAAATAAAAAAAAAACTTAAAATGTTTGACATAAATAGGTTAGAATAATGTAATGTAATTTGAACAAACGTAGTTACTTTTAAAACGAAGTAAATCATATGAAATTAGTAAAAATTGATATTTTCACATTTCCCATCGCTTAGTAAATGTGTTTAATTACCACAAAACAATGTTAGATTTAGTAATTGTTGTGAATAACTTACAAATGTTTATCATCTGCGTAGATAATATGTGTTTCGATGGTATCATAACAATGATTAAAGTTCTTCCAAATTTATTTTATTGTTTCTTTTAACTCAGTACCGGCGTTAGGGCTGAACAAACTGGGCCAACACAAGTGTGAAAACACACGGTCTTATCAGGGAGTTATCCACTAAGAAATGGTAAAAAGGAGGGAATCGACATTGATTTACAAATTTACAATTACCTTGATCTTTTGGTAATTTCACTACCACTACTTTTTAAATCACATTTATGTCTAAAGAAAATAACAATTTTTATTTTAACTCTAGCAAAAAGGCTTTCTAAACGATTGATTGAATATAAATGGTTGCGAACTCTCGCTAATAAAAGGTAACCAATCATCATTCTCCTTATCCTATTCCCGTAGGGTCGGCGCAACAGGTTTTTGTCCTCCAAATAACTCTATGTCATGACGTATGTCATCTGAGTCATCACTCCCTTTTGATCGTGTCACCTTTTACGCAATCCATCCATCTTATTCTAGGTAACTAATAGCAATAAAAAAAGGTATCTTACAATTAAAATATCTTTTTTAATATACTTTATTAATTATAACTATGTTACTAGGCATAATTGTAAACGAACGGTTAAAGCCATCGACGTTAGCGTTAGCGGAGAAATTGCAAGCAAGCTAACTGCTTAAAGCTGTCCGTGTACAGCACCCTAAAATAATACAATACTTCGCAACGTACAAAAAAGAGAGTTCACAAGCGAAACAGCATCAAGAGGGCTGTTGCCTCTAGCGAGGTACAATGGCGATGTTATCAGAACGGTGTAATTTTACTTAACTATTGTAGATTCTTTCACACGACAAAGCTGTTTAAATTCCGCAATGATACAGTGAAAGGGAAAACTGTTTTTGTACCCACGAGGAGGGGACCCTTTGGTTACCTGCTGCTGTCGCTAATGCAGCAACCTTGAGACCTACAACGGTCGTTGCCAAAATTAAAAGAGAACAAAGTCTATTTGGACTGAATTGTCATAAGACCACCACTCATTAAACACCTTTTTAATGAACACATATTAAGTAAAAGATTTTACTACCGCACAAAAATCCAATATGATTTATAATTGCACCCGCTTCCGTGCACGAGACATGCATTGTTTTTGTCCATTCGATTCTTCTTTGTGTTCGCTCTCATAGTGATAATAAAAGTTCACACGCTTTAAATTAAACGATATGAACATTTCAATCCTATTTTTAACTAGCGTCAAATCAAGGAGAGTAACGTAAAAGCATCGAAGATAATGTAAAGATGTTGTGTATCTTATGTTCTTCCTTCTGTAGTAAATAATATTAAAAAAAACACTGTTCCTTTAGAAATATACAGTACCAGCGTAAAAGAAGGGTGTAGTTGGGAAGTTGCTAAGGCCTAAATGCTGGTAGAAAAGAGATCAGCAGTTTTGTGAATTACTCTCAGGAGGCAGATCAACTATACTTCGGTTGTTTGGAGTGGAACTATTATCACTTATATTTGTCGTCATCTTGAGCCTTTATCTTGGACATGGGTCTTCCATAATATCTTCCTCATAAAATGGTCTGACTTCCGCACTTGAAGGCGGAGAACCGCGTCCATCTTGAGTTGTATATCTAAAGAGAACTATCTTTTTGTCATCAGAAATACATACTCGTATATTATAAATGCGAAAGTTTAGATGGATGGATGTTTGTTAGAGTTTGCAGCCTAACTGCTGTAAGGATCTTAGAGGATAGTCTGGAAGAACATATAGGCTACTTTTGGTTTTTTTAATTCCACGCGGTAGGAGTCGCGGGCAGAGCTAGTCGGCTATAAAATATGGATGACATATTAAGACACATCTGTAATACCGTGACTATCTTAGATTACGAGATCTGCTTGACACAGATAATCTTAATATTACATTACACGGAAGATATGCGATGTACTTGAGTCGCGAGTGCATTTACTTTCCGTCGTGACGCTGTAC